CGCTTGACCACTGAGCCACATCCCGAGCCCTACTTACTTTGTATTTTATTTAGAGAAAGAGTCTCACTGAGTTGCTTAGCTCCTCGATTTTGCTGAGGCTGGCTTTGAACTCACAATCCTCCTGCCTCAGCCTCCCAAGCCACTGGGATTACAGGTCTGCACCACCATCCCCAGTATTATAATATTCTTTCTGAAACACTAAAAATATATCAAAATATTGGGTGCTACAAATGCTACATTGGTAGTACAGTCAATAATGTGTTTGGAAAAATAGAACAAGATTCCATTTTATTGTTTCATCAGTATAATTTTAATCAGTAGGCATATTAATGTCACATATAGCTTTTTAAATTTTAAATATGTTTAAAAGCTATGTTTACAATRTAAGATACCAAGAATACATAGTTGACATAGGTTGTATAGGTAATCATTTTGACTATGTAAGAAATACGATCAGAATACTGTTATGGTGAAAGAAAAAGACTTTCTTTTTAATCATTCACATTCAGTACTGGAAATACTCTACGAACACATGACTCCAAACAACACATTTTGTTTCTGCTTTAAACCTGCTAAGTTATCTATTGCTGACTTTATGATTGCATAGTTCAACATAAAAATTCATTCTACTCAAATTCTCAATAATAAGTCTGATTAGTTAGATAACTTCCCAATCATAAAAGCTTTTATTTTAAGACAAGTATTATGCAAATATAGTGTGGAAATCAGACTCACTGTAATTGGGATAAAAAGACAACTCTAGAAGAACCCTGCACATGTGATACCTACTGCATTTTGGTGCATACTGTCTTGCATTCCCTACCTTTCTTCCTCCTCTTTGAAGTGCTGGATTAAAGTGTATTCACACTAGAAAGCTACACAGCAGGCTTAATATGAGAACTATGTGTTTAAGAAAACAAGACATTCTAAATAAGAAATCTCCAATTATTTTGTTTTTACGACCTTTCTTATGAAGAGTGTTTTATGTGCAATAGCTGCAGATAGAAATAAATCTACTTTTCACTCAAGCCCAATCAAATATATMAAATATAAAATACAACATAAAGCAAACTACAGAGCAGCAGTGATTCTTAGAGCAGCATGTGCAAAATTCAATATTTTGTTATCTACATCACTGTCGTCAGAAAAGAAAAGTGCCAAAWCTCCCTTTTCCATTCCACTTAAACTGGTTCCCCACAATTGCAACAAACATCTCCTGTGACATTAAGTTGTCATCAGCTTGTGTGATCCCCAGTTCACTCAAYCTTTTCTTCTTCATGTGGCCTTTTTGTGTAGAGACAGCAACTAGTTCATTTACAATTTCACAATTACCCTCAACTTGCTCAGAAAGGTCAGTTCTTTCATAAAGCTCCATTCTGCCTGTTGCACACTGAATCAGCTCTTCTAGATCCACTCTTTCAGCTGCATCTGCCTCTTCACTTGTCTGAATTTTAAGTGCTTTATTTTCTGGAGAAACAAATAAATTATAACAAAGTTCAATAAACAGTCTAACCAAACTAAAACATATATCTACACAGTCTGTTAGAGCTTTCAAGTTTTTTTCTGCCCAGGACTCCTGATATATTTGTATTTTACAAATTCTTTGCCATAAGATTCTCAACTGGCAGTTGTCTTACTCTTCACCAATTTTAACTTCTTTATTTACCTTCTTCATCCTAGAATCTCATTCACTCGACAGACATATCCTGGGTATTTACTGTCTGCTAGGCACTGCATTAGGAGCTAGGATGCAAAGATTAATAGATAGTGCTACTTTTCTTAAACTTCTAATCTAGCAGCTAATTCTAGATAGGTCCCACGATCCCCAACCCCTGGTGTTACGATCATTATTCTTTTTTTTTCTCCTTTACTTTTTTTGGTTGTAGATGGACACCTTTATTTTATTTATTTATTTTTTTAAATTTTTTTGTAGTTGTAGATGGACACAATGCCTTTATTTTATGTTTATGTTTTTGTATGTGGTACTGAGGATTGAACTCAGTGCCTCACACATGCTAGGCAAGTGCTGTGCCACTGAGCTACAGTCCCAGACCCTTATTTATTTTTATGCAGTGCTGAGGATCAAACCCAGGGCCTCATACATGCTAGGCAAGCGCTCTACCACTGAGCTTCACCCCCAACCCCACACTCATTATTCTTAAACGGCAACAGAACTTTGCATTGTAATTTTTCAATGTACTAATTAATTTTCTCCAGCTAGTTGAGGAAGAGGAAGTCAGAGAAATTTGCCTTCAGGGAGGTTCTCTGTAGCTAAGAAGGATTGAGACAATGAGACAAGGAGCTGAATATGATCCCCAACCAACAGCCAGCAAAAAAAAAAAAAACAGAGACCTCAGTCCTTCAACCTAAAGGAACGGATTCAGCCAGTGAAATGACATGAATTAAGTAGATTCTTTCACCAGAGCTTTCAGATAAAATTCTGCTAACCTGACACCTTAATTTCACACTGTGAGACCTGTGTGGAGATAAAAACTTCTAGAGATATAAATAGAGCATATTCTGAGGAATAACAAGGACTACTATTTAAACTGCTTTAAACTTCCCTTATCCACATAAATGTCTAATCCCTATCTATAACTGAGATTTAATAGTGACCTGCATCATGGCTTAAAATTCATGAATCTCCACTGAGCTAGCTCATTTTGCTGCCAAGAAAGGCAGGTGACAATGAGACACTTAACTTCTACCAATGAAAAATAGAAGCAAGCTCCAGTATATCCCTAAGTAAATGCAGCCTTCAACCTGGCACACTTACTTCTCTGCCTCCTCCCTTAACAAATGCTAGTAGGAGCCACCACTGCTAGCATATACCTATCCTTATTCTATACACTTACAGAAAACCAAGCATGAAAACAAGGGGAGTGTGGGGGTCACAGAAACCACCACATCAAGTTTTGAATGAACAGATGAACTTGTTGACATTCAAAGTCTCTCTCACCCTGAGATTCTATAATGCTAACACTTTACCAAGCTTCTCTATGTCCATGCCTAAGCATGTTCTAGGAATATTTTTAAAGAGGGGAGGAAGACTCAGTTTAATGCTGAAATAAAGCAAACCATATATGGTCTTTATATAAAAAATTACTAAATATAGCCTACCTTCAATTCCATCGTGGGCATTGTCTTGCAGTTCAGAGAAAATTGTAGGCTTCACCAAAACAACACCATAACCTTCATTATTATGTATGACATTATTTACCATGGATATTTTGGGAATGTCATAATGCTCATCTAAGAAGTCCTGTGACATTGAAAACAAATGTCTTAAGAAACTGTCATATTCAACATTGCCTGTTTTAAAAATCTTTTTTCATACCATTCTAAAAATAAAGTAGAAAATCTATGCTTATTTGCACCAGAGTGACATAGTGTTCCTGTCACTTCTGCATATCTAAAGACAGCAAAGCTCTTTCACAAGAAATCACCAACTACTTGTATTATTTAAATTTCTATGCTGTAAATGCTTTCAAAACTAGAAAGCAATAGAATCCAACATAGAAATTTAATAAAACATAATTTCTTAGGTGAAACCATTCTAATCTTTAGAAAGAATGTATTTCAGCTAATGCTCACCTTAATGAGGATCCCCTCCTTGCAATGATGGATCCCAYTGTCACTCAGGATACACTTACTCCCAGGATATATTTCAATACCAGCACCCTGTAAGTTACAATTTGGGGTAATGACAATCAGTTTTAAAAAGATTTATTACAATGACTTTTTAGCCTTTAACACAGAAAAAAAAATGTAACATACAAAGATAAAGTGTTTTACAGATGACTTTCTTTAAGTATTTCTTTTCTTTTTTTTTAACCAGGGATTGAACTCAAGAACACTTGATCACTGAGCCACATCCCTAGCCCTATTTTGTATTTTATTTAGAGACAGGGTTTCACTGAGTTACTTAGCACCTCACTTTTGCTGAGGCTGGATTTGAACTCGTGATCCTCCTGTCTCAGCCTCTGGAGGCACTTGTGCACCAYTGTGCCTGGCTTTAGGTATTTTTAATCAACATTTCTATTTGCTCCATTTCCAACAAATTGTTGATTATTTAACACACACACACACACACAGTGGTTAAGAGTGTCAAAACTTGATTTTTATTCCACTCTCATTCTAGACAAATGTTTTCTGATTCTGCCAAAAAAAAAAAAAATAGTCATTTAACAATTTTGTTGAAAGATGCACTTAAAATGACCATTCTCAAACATACTCAATTAGTTGGAGAACAGCATGAGTCTAGTAAAATACTGAAATTTGAAGACAGAAATAAGATTCTGTTTTTAAAAACAAGACAGTTTAAAATAACCCTACCATAATGATTTTAAAATCACTTCTATGAGTCAAGCAATGGCCTCTACTACTACACTCATGTTAAAATTAGCAGTTAATACAAATGTTACTTATTCATGGTAACCAGAAAGACCCACCATGATCCAATTCTCTCACATTGTCCCATGATACCACATGGTATCAACAAAAAAGTAACAGTAACTATTTATTGCTAATATTATATTACATACTTTAGAAAACAAAAATCTTTATAATTAAGAAAGCATTTCATGGGTGGGGGGCCGGGGTTGTGGCTCAGTGGTAGAGTGCTTGACTAATATGCATGAGGCACTGGGTTTGATCCTCAGCAACACATTATAAATAAATGAATTAATAAATGAATGAATGAATGAATAAAAAATGTGTCCATCTATAACTAAAAACATTTTTAAAAAGAAAGAAAAAGAAACCATTTCAGAATACGTTAATTCATCATATCATTGATTAAAAAGTTATAATCATTTATGACACATCTACTGCATGGGTGTTGAGTTGTTTTTTCTGGAGTAGTAGTATTCCATGAGAGTACATTTGTTATTACTTCCTCCTTTACATATGGCTGAACCCTATGTACACACTAACCCTAACTCTTCTATAAAATGTTTTTTTTAATTGCTAATTAAGCTAAAAGATTTTCAGTTTGGGGTTATGTGCAAAAAGATTTAGGAGTATACTGAAAAAATATATATACATCCATAGGTCACTTAATAATAGGGATATGTTCTGAGAAATTTGTTGTTGGGTGATTTTGTCATTGTGTAATCTTAGCGTGAACCTACATAATCCTAGATGGTATAGCCTACTACACACCAAGGCTATATGGTATTCATAGTTGTATATGTCATACTGATATGCCATTATAAGGCATGTGAATATTCAACAAAATAGTTAAAATTAAATATCAACCTATAATGTGAAGGAATAATGTAAAATTTTAAAAGGACAATTTAAACCAGCAATCGCCTAGAAAATGAAGTGAACAGCTATTTGGCAGTTAAAAATAGTTGCCCCATTCACACTAAATGTGATGAAGTACATGTTCCTATTCCTTCTGTTAGGTATAATCAAAAACATAGGCAATATATTCAAAACAAGTAGAAAAAGACTGAAAAGTGGGCTAGGGTTGGGCTCAGTGGTTGAGCACTTGGCTCACATGTATGAGGCACTGGATTCAATCCTCAGCACCACATACATACATACATACATACATAAATAATAAATAAATAAATAAATAAATAAATAAAATAAAGATGTGTGTCCATCTACAACTAAAATACAATATTTTTTTAAAAAGTGGAGAGAAGAAGGCAGAACTGCTTGGGACTTCAAAACACAAAGAATGACACCAACACAATGGTCAGTTCCCTGGATTTTCCTTCTGCCTCATAATCCCCACACTGAAGAAGCTGGTGATCCAGAAACATGAACAGACAAAGGAAAAAAAAAAAAAAAAGGGATTGCTCTGTCTAGTCAAAAGACCAGACAACCTAAAGATAGAAAACTTACAATAACAGCTCTATTCCAGCCAAATACCACAGAGGATAAAACAACAACAGCAGCCCCCATTCCCACAAACGCTGGCAAAGTTCGAGAGCCTAGACTTCTTCTGCTTAAACCAGGCTGTAACCAGGTAACTTTTTCATCCCTAGTAGTTGGAACCAAGACCCTTGGCCTAGCAGTGTCAGTAGAGACTACATGGGAAGTCCAGACTTTACCTCCACCTGACATTGACAAGAGCCTTGCAACCATCCCCACTGGGGTGGTATCAGAGCAGGCCTCATGGAGAACCTGGACTTTCATCATTGCTCAGTGGTAATAAGACAAGCCCCAAGTACAACAGTGTCATTGGAAACCAGGAGGGAAGCTGGATCTCTCACTTCCACCCAGCAGTACAAGTACCCCACCCAACCTGAGAATCAATCCTGCCCCATCCTCTTTATAGCACTCAGAGAAGCCCAGTTAAAACAGAAGATCCAGACTCTCATAACAATACAAAAATGTCCAGGTTTCAACTGAAAATCATTTAAAACACCAAAAACCAGGAAGATGCCAAACTAAGTAAGACAATCAACTGATGTCAAAACTATAAAAATGTCTAAGATGTTAGAATTAGTTGACAATAATATCAAAAGAACCATGATTAAAAAAAATACTGCAATTAGCAATTGTGAACATACTTAAAGAAAATGAAAGTCTCAGCAAAGAAATAGAAGATAACTTCAGAACCAGTAGTATTTTTGGAGATTTCCTTTGCCTCCTTTTTCTTGCCTTATTGAACTGGCTAGAACTTCTAACACTATGTTGAATAATTGTGGTGAGAGCAGATATCCTTACCTTGTTCTTGATTTAGGAGGAATACATTCAGTATTTCATCATTAAATATAAACAGCTTTTTATAGATATGCTCTATGAAGTTGAAGAAGCTCACAACAGATAAAAATGAGAGAAAATCTAGATCATCTACTTCTTCAATAGGTGAATAAACAAACTGAAACGACCACATGTTGGGCTATTTATCAACAATAAAACGGAAGAAACTATTGGTACATACAAATTCTGGATAAAACACCAAAGAACTGCACTAAGTGAAAAATTCCAAAAGGTTATATACTCTGTAATTGCATTTATATAACATTCTTGAAATGATGAAATAATAGAAATGGAGAACAGATGAGTTTGCCAATAGTTAAGAAGGTTGGTGGGAGAGGCAAATGAGTTTGGCTACAAAGTGGCAACATAGGGATCTTTGTGGTGGTGAAAACATTCTTTGCTTCAACTGAACCAGTGTCAATACCCTAGTTGTGACATTGTACTATAGTTTTGCAAGGGAAACTGGTAAAGCRTACACATATGGGATCTCTCTGTATTATTTCTTATAATAGCATATAAATCTATAATTATCTCAAATTCAAAAGTTTTTTTAAAAAGCAACTGAGCTTCAGCTGTTTCAAAATTGCTTAAAAGTTATAATTTTAAGGATCTTAATTTATTTTTAAATTACCAAAGAGAAATTATGAGATTTATTCTTTTCCTTCCTAATCTCCGTTTTAAAAATACTACAGTATTGTGCTTATGCTTAGTGGCTAAATAAGAAGACTTGGGCTGATTTAGTGGATAATAAGTATCTAAACTTCTCTGAAGAAAGAGAATTGAAGTACACATCTATATCTTCGTCCCATAGTTTAATTATATAAAACTTAAACTAAATAATTACTTCCGCCATACCTTGGCACCATATAAATCTGAGTTCTTCATTAAAAATTCAGCTGATGTTCGTACTGTGACTCCTGTAGTTTCACATTGCAACACACAGTTTTCCAATGTAGTCTTGCCACGGTGAATGACTATGATAAAAATAAACAGTCAACTGCTTTAAGAAGTAATGTGACTATTCCAATATTAGAAATATCCTAGAGTTGACATTAAATATAGTCTAAGTATCCTCAAGAGGTACCATTTAAACTGTTAGCTGAATTACAAATTTATAAAATTTAAATAATCACTATAGTGAGTTATTTTCTAAAACCTAAAGGCAACTTCCTTAGAAAATGACTTGACCTCAGAAATGCAAAAGCATCTATTCATTACAAAAAAAAAAAACACCCTACACAAACATACACACAAACATATACATATACATATACATATACATATACATATACAAGCAACTCTGCTAAGTGACCCGGAAGGAAGAAGAAAAAGTCCAAAAGCTGTGTGATACAGATTCTAGGAAACAATGTTTTGTGTTGCTATAACAAAATACCTGACATTGGTAATGTTAAAAAAAAAAAGTTTATTTGGCTCATTATTCTGGTGGGTAAAAAGTCCAAACAGCATGGTGTCTGGCAAGATCTTCCCAGCTGTATGACAACATGGAAGAGAAGAAATGACATCAGCTGCATACAGAAGGGAAACATGTACTACCAAGGAAACAAGAGAGTGGGCATGGGCCAACCCACTCTCAGGGGAACTGATCAACTCCCATGAGACCTGCATTAATCCATTCATGAGTGTGGAACCCCTGTGACCTAATTACCTCCACTACATCCCATCTCTTAAAGATTCTACCACATCAACACCACCACCAAGCTTTAAGCACAAGAACATTTGGGAGACAAACTATATCCAAACCTTAGCACAATGTCAAAGAAGCAAGTTTCAGTCTAATGCTAAAATGAATACAAAGAACACAAAATACAATTTTGGAATGCTTTAAAATAATTAATCACACAGAAAAGAAAAGAAAATGATAATAAACCAATAAGTTTTCAAGAATAAGCTGAACTAGGAGAAAAAAAAAAAAAAGAATAAGTTGAACTATTTTTCACCTTAAGGTAAACTGCTTAACTCATCATGCTATGTACACAGTAACTAATCAGCCTTCCATATACTCCAGTGGTATTGAGTTACATTCTATCTTTCATAGAAAATAGTCTTTCAAAGCCTAGGRAAAAAAATGCACCAAATATTCAGGTACTTACTTAAGATTCCTTCTACAGCATCATGCTGAACAAATTTTATGTTTGAGATTTTAATATCCRCACCTGTGCAATCCACAAAAGTATCTCCTTTGCCTCTCTTTTCTATCACAATATCATCTGGTARACCATATCCTAAGGAAGAAAGCAAGAACACTCAAGAAGGGTGAGGGAAAACATCTGAACACAAAAATGTTAGAACAAATTTCACTAGTCTAAATATTTCCAAATGATAATTCGAGACAATCAATGTTAGTTTTATTTAAATAAAATCTCTTTCTCTACATACCTTGTGTAGTTTAAGTCAAGGTATCCAACTTTTAATAACAACCCTCCAATCTGTCCCCATATTAGGAAGACTGCTCTGCCAACCACCTTAGGTCAGTTCACCACTAAATTCACTTACAAAACTGCTATAAAAAAATAAATCATTCTAAGGCATTCAGCCCTTCTAAGTTTTCCCCTAAGATTTTGCGGCTCTAATATAAATTATATGGAATATATCTAGCATTTCTCAAAATTAGAACCTGACAAATTAACTTCAAACAGTTTAAGCTAATACAAAAAAAAGTCTACTTTATTAACCAATTTTTAAAAATCAGGTTTCATAAATCTCTTTCTTTTCTTTCTTTTCTTTCTTTTCTTTCTGAGATAGGGTGTTACTAATGCTGCCTAAGCTAGCCTCAAGCAATCCTCCTGCCTGCACCTGCCCAGTAGCTGGGAATACAGTGCACACCATTGTACTCAACAAAATCTTAATCCAACTAATAATGCAGGCCAAGCCTCTGGATGCTCTTACAGAAAACTAGAGAATTTTCTTTCATCATAAAACAGAAGCACACAAACAAAGCTGTAAGAAAAAACTCTAAGATATAGTTAAGTATCTGGATGTTTGGTGCATTGTTTTTTCTAGGCTTTTCATAAAGAAGAGCCTTTGCTTGAGTAGATGAAAGTAGTAACAGCATTGAACAGCAAAGCTACTTGAAGAGTTTAGACAAGCCTTGAGGGGCACTAAGACTCCAAACACAAGAATGCTACCAGGGTGGACATTGGATAATTGGATTGAGTTGTTTCTGATTCTTTGTGTCTGTCAGTACTTTGCATATTTCCTATAACAATCATTGTTTATCTTCAGAAAAATAAAAAAAATATAAAAAGAATTCCATGTTGAGGGAAAAAACCTGAGATTATTATACAAATTATGTATTCTTAGCAGTTAAAAACAAAACCATCACCTAATTGAATAGATTTTTTAAACAAAAAAGGCCTACTGTAAGAGCTATTCACCCTGCACATATTTATGAAACCTGCACACAGTAGGTACTCAATACACTTGTAACACTTGTAACAAGTGTTATCGATGAATCACTAGTACTCCACACATTCACACTGCAGATCACATCTGATTCCCCAATTCTTAGAAATGCCCTCGGTTAGTAAATTTATAGTCATTTTTATACTCACCCATCAGAATTCTATGGTTATTTATAACATTCTGGCAATTACATTATTATTTCTTCACCAATCTAGAAAGAATTTTTATCCACCAAACAATATAATATCAATGTTATTTTCACTATGCCAAAAAATAAAGTGTTTTTATTGCAGTGATTTACTCTGCAGATGTGTTTTTTATACACATACATCTATGATAAATCAGATATTGGAGAGGAGAAAAAACAAAAATTATAAACATAAAACAAAAAAGGGGACGATGATATAGTAGTGAACAGCAGGAAATTAAACTCCCAGTCTTGCTTCCATTAAGAAGTTTTGACAAGATAAAGAACATAGCTTTAGCCATTTGTGAACAGCTGCTTAAGTCACAAAATGATATATCCTTTTTTTTTTTTTTTTTTTTTGCATTACAAGCTTTATTACTAACTTGAAGCTGTTCTGGTAAATAGTTGAACAGGTGCACCTAAATTTTACTTTATAGAAATATGCAGAACCAAAATGAACAATTGTGAACTAAACTAAATTTAGGAATCATTCTGAATGAATTTTAAGATTATTACTGTTAAAAAGTTGCTTTTAAGGGGTTGGTTGTGGCTCAGTGGTAGCATGCTTGCCTAGCACGCATGAGGCACTGGATTCAATTCTTAGCACCATATACAAATAAATAAAGATCTATCAACTAAAAAAAAAAAAAAGTTGCTTTTATACAACCTTCAAATATTGATGTTCTCAAAAGTATACTTTGGCCAGGATACAAAATGTAGTATTTGTGACATTCAGTAAGCTTTTAAAGAATTAAGATAATTTTTGTACCAATTCAAGTTAAATGCACTTTTCAAAAATCTCTTATAAAAATAAGCTAACTTTAAAACAAAACAAACAAAAAAATCAGGTACCAAGATATCCACAAAATGTATGGCCTAAGAGCAAGCTACAGATAAGAAAATATTAAACATAGATATATGATTATATTTTGTTGGGAATATTTTTCCATTCCAAAAATTAGACTTCTTTTCCACAAACTACATATAATCTAAAAAAGTACACGTCTTCCAAATGGTCTTAAAAAAAATATGCCTGTAAACATCTTCCCAACATATATACTGTCTCAAAGACCTATGATTCAAGTTGCTTAAACACTGGGTCAACCCTGAAAGCTTTAAATACCCTTAATGTTTCAAAGCATCTCACTTGAAACCAAATGGGTTGAAATTACATTCTTGGAACTTCAACACGATCATTGATTTACTGCTTATTTATATGTATGCATGAGAAATTGGTTGTATTATCATCCATACTCACCTTCCAATTCAATGGAATCAGCAATGGAGAATGTGCCATGTACCACATAATGACCAGGACAAACAATAACAGTGTCACCTTCAAAGCAAGCATTTATAGCAGACAATGGATCTCTGTGGAACTAGAAAACAACATATTGCAATACGGTTGAGTATTGCAACTTGAGTATTATTGCAAGTGTCTTCATGTCTGACCTTTAAAATGGAGCACAAACTGCATTAAGTGTCTCCTGTGATAGTGCACTGAGCCCCAAGCATGCTTTTAGTAAAGTGACTATTGTTAACAGAAGGCAGTGCTCTTACTACTTCTCATTTCATAGAAAACCAGCCCTAGAAAGCTTCTATAAACACTTTGTAGAATTCATAAAAATCTGGTATGAATCAAAAGGCGAAGTCACCTGGAGCAAACAACTCCCCTTTTACCTGAACTTCTATTTCCCCCTCGCAATGCTCTTCACAAAGCTTGTCCCTGAGCAGAGCCCGAAGTAGACCTGTCATCATGGTGGATGAAACCACATGGGTGATCTTCTGGCCATTTGGACGGATGCCCTTTGCTTGAATATTAGAGTTCTTCTGATAACCAAACACATATCTTAAAGAAACCAAATATATCCATTAATTCTCAGTAAGATAGCTAATACGAACTAGTTAAGAAAAACAAAGACACACATACCTCAACAAAGGATTCTCAATGAGTTTTAGCTTTTGTTTCAACTGTTCAATCTCCGAATACAATTTTAATCCTTCCACCATGGAGATATTTTCCTGCTCAGAATCAGAATTACAATTTGACAAACTGCTTCTCAGATTTAGAAATTTCCTGTAACTCTCCTCACATTGAGACAACAGATTACGGTAGTCAACAACAAGTCCTGAAGGAACTCGGTCTTCAAGAATATCATAATACCTGAAAGTAAATTGAAATCCATTGCCTTCCAAGTAAATTTTCTTATCATTAAGACAGCTCATTTAGTTCTCAAAGATCCAGCAAGTTATAGTACATACTCAGTATACGTTAAGTTGCTCTGAATAGCACTCCATTATAAGTGAAAGCAATTGGAAGTATGAAGAACAGCTTCATTAGGGTCACTAACTTTTCTTCTTTTGAGGAGTTTTTTTTCCTGAGATCCCAGCATTGTATTTTTAAAACATTGTCAGTTCATGCTGCATAATGTGTAATCATTATCCAATAAGAAAGTATTTTCTCCTCATATATTAAGAATCAAGCTGGGCATGGTGGTAAATACCTGTAATCCCAGCAACTTCAAAGGCTGARGCAGGAGGATTGCAAATTCCAGGAGAGCCTCAGCAACTTAACAAGACGCTGTCTCAAAATAAAAAAATAAAAAGGGCTGGGGGTGTAGTGTAGTTCAGTGGTAGAGTACTGCAGGGTTAAACCCCTAGTAACACACATACACACAAAAAGAATCCTAACAATAAGATTTCAAGTTTTATTTGAGACTTAATTTGAGTCTTATTTAAGGAATYTGAGACTGGGGGTAGGAAGGGAAGTATCTAAAATTGTTTTACAACTTTTAAGATTACCAGATTTATAGGATCAAAAATGAGAAATTATTTAAATTATCTAGCTCTGCCTGCATTTAATGCACAAAAATTATCTCAGGAAGTTATTAGAGATAGCCTTTGAAATTCTGTAAAGACATATCAAGAAGTATTTCTGGGTGCAGTAAAATAATTTGGGAATGTACAAGTTAATGGATATAAAATTAATGAAATAGAAAAAAGGAAATCAATAGTTTTGAAAATAAAATATAAGATTACTGCCATTACATACAGTTTTTAAATAACTGCTTTATTTCTTAGTTAAAAACACAGCGACTAGCAATGACTTAGGCCAGCGCTTCTCAACCCTAGCTTAATATTCAACTCACCTGGGGAGCTTTCAAAAATACAGATGCCTAGACCCCCATCCAGACCAATTAAATGGGTCTCTAAAAGTTGTTTTGTTTTTGKTTTTGGTTTTGGTTTTGGTGTTGTTTCAATGAACCAACATTTGTATCATGAAACTATGTTGTATCCCAGACCCATAATTCTTTTTTTGGAGTGCAAGTTCTAATTTTATTCTCATTGCAGCATTGCCTATTAAATTACAATTCATGAATACAAGAAAATCACTGGTCTTAGACTACCATCTAGTGGAATGATAAATGAACACCACATTTAAGAAGGTCAGTGTAAAACAACAGTTTAGGATACAGAGTTAATTTTAAGTTAACTTAAAAACTGAGCCACATCCCCAACCCTTTTTTATCTTTTTATTTTGAGACAGGGTCTTGCTAAGTTGCTTAGGGCCTTGCTAATTGCTGAGGCTGGCCTTGAATTTACAATCCTCCTGCCTCAGCATCCCAAACCACTGGGATCACAAATGTGTGCCACAGCACCAGCTAGAAGTAATTTTTAAAGTTCCCTAGATGTTAATATAGCCAAGGTTGAGAACTATTGCTTTAGATGATGATTTCATTTGTTTTGTTTTTGTTTTTGTTTTACTTAGTTATGCTCTGAATAAAACCAAGGAACAGAACCATAATCCTAAATAAATTTACACCAAATTATGGTGAACACTCAAATAGTATTTAAAACACATAAAAAGTAATTCTTTCCCCATTTTTCAAGTAAATAAATTAGGCAACTCTTGGAAAAAAAAGCGAGGATTTCCTCGGCTTTGGTTAATCCATAATTATTTAAAGATTTAAATTCACTTTGCAAAGAAGAAATTAGGGAGCAAACAACTGACTGATCAGGTCCATTAAACTGTGAAGATTAAGGCTCAAATTTTAAAAAGAGTCTCTTAGTATTTCTAACACCCATGGTAATCAGTTTATTTCTTCTCGGCATATTGATACTTCATGGTCTGGATGCAATGAACCAACATTTGTATCTCAGACTCCTAAATTCTGGAATTCTATGTTTTGAATTAGAAAGGAAAAATATTTACCACACAGTATAAAATCAACACAGTATGATTTGATTCCTTTTAAATCTTGTCTACTGACACTCTACTCCTATCTTAGCTAAAGAACCATTTCAGATCTGCCTACATTTGATAAAATTCCAGTTTCTCCATCAAGCACTGTAGTTTCTTCTTCATAACCCAAACCATTTCTGTCTTATGCTTTTCCATCTGCTGGTGATACACAGAGTATGTATGTAAATCACTTCTTGTTAGCAATGCAAAGCTGTCAAATCAGAATACAATTTTTCTCCAAGTAAAGACCAAATTTGCCAGATATGCATGATAGTCACCTACCATTACATTTCACTTCAATCAAAACAATCATTACTGTTTAAGAGCAAATATCACAAACCAAGAAAATATTCAAGTGTATTGAAAATCTGTCATTAGAGTACATTGTGGGAAAACAGAATAGACACAATGAAAAAACTGGAAAGACTGAATAGAAAACATAGTCAATTTTTGAAGAGCTGAAATCAGACATACATAATTCTAAATAAGTAAGAATCATCAGCCAGAGTTTCACATTTTTTAAAATTTTTTTTCTTATTTACTATTGAAACCAAGAGAAACTTACTAAATCATATTGGATTCCACAAAAATGTGAAGGCTTACTGCCTTATCTTATAGAGTCAAATCATCTTTCACACAAGAAAAAAATCATCTCCCATAATTCTTTTTTTGGAGTGCAAGTTCTAATTTTATTCTCATTGCAGCACTGCCTATTAAATTACAATTCATGAATACAAGAAAATCACTGGTCTTAGACTACCATCTAGTGGAATGATAAATGAATACCACATTTAAGGTCAGTATAGAACAACAGTTTAGGATACAGAGTTAATTTTTATATTTTTGTATGGAAAGGTTTTTCCCCACCAAAATATGATAAATTACAAAAATGCACTTTGGAAATTTTCATTCTACCAATATTAATGATTTAATATTTTTAACTATTTGTCAAATAAAGCAAGAGCTTGCTTGACAAAACATTAGAGTAAAACCATATACTTTAAAAGTAGTCTTTAAAAATTTAAAGCAAAGGAGTCTTCAGTAATTCAAATAATTTCACTATTTTTCTAACAATTATCTTTGACTTTAATAAAAGTCTTTTAAAACACTAGCTCAATTGAATTTTATTCATATTCATAAATAGTTATAATTTAAATGTTCTTGAATTCTCTGCTTTTAAACTTAGTTCATAAATTTAAAATGCAGGTGTCTACACTTCACACAAGCTTCATTTAATAACTTGTACTATTTGTACACTGATCTGTTTTTGTCTATGGCATCTGGGGCATGTGATATGTGTATCACACGGGTAGAATTTTTTTTTTTAAATCCATTTTGCAACACATATGAGGTCAGTAATAAATACTCACAATCTCAATCGAGGTTCAACACATCTGACAAAATAATCATACTCATCCTCCTCTTCTTCATCCCAACTCCTCCAAATGTTTTGGTAGAAAAATCTGAAAAAGAGCTTAGTATCATTTAAATTCAATCACTGGCTCAGTATATTGGAGTTCTGGAGTAATGAGAACTAAAGAGAAAATCAAAATCCTACCATTTACAGCTACTTACAACTATTTTCACAACATTCTCTAATATATGTGAACACTGTGTTATTTTCTATAATTGACAGTCATGAGTCATATAAAATTTAGACCTTCAGATCAGCTGGATAAGTTTTTCCACAACATTGTTTCTGTTAGAACTTTCTTTATATCAGGGCTATTTATTGATTATCAGTAACTAGGCAGATGATAATGCCCGTGTTGAGATGGAAAAGAAGGGGAGAAAAACAGGTTTGGGGTTAAAAATAAAGAGTTCTGTTTTTAAAGTGTTCCAGTTAAGATGCCTATTGATCTGCAAATGGATGATGTCCAGTATGCAGATGAATACAGAACCCCAGAGCTCTAGGGAAAGGTCAAGTGTAGATATAAATCTGGTAGGGGCAACATATTGATGGTATTAAAGCAATAGATGAGATCATCTAGGGACATAATATAAAGCAATAGTTCTCAACCCTGGCTACACATTAGAGTCCCCAGGGATGTTTTAAAAATGTATTCCCTGTTCTAGAATAATAAATCATATCCTCTCAGTATGGTGAGAAAAATCAGCATTTATATTTTTTAAAGCTGCCAAAATGATTTTAACTTTTTTAAAAAACAAGTTCAAACACATACATCAGAGAACACAGTATCATGAATACCTTGTATTCATCACCCTGCTTCAATAATTATCAACTCATTATCATCTCTACCTCACCCACTTATCTCTGCTCCTCCCCCATCACCCTAATACTGAATATTTTGAAGCAAAAATCTCACCAATATCATTCATAAATTTTTAGTATTGTCTATAAAATAAATCTTTATACCAAAAAGAAAGTTTTCATTCCTTATATTATTAATTATACAGTTAATGTTTAAATTTTCCCAATTGTCTCTTGCTCTTGTTTTACAGGGTTTTATCGGGATCAAACAAGGGTCAGCTGTTGCATTTAATCAATATAGCTCTTAAATTATTTTATAGATTACTCCTTCCTCTTTTTTACCATGGAATTTACTTAATAGTTTCCCACACTCTGAATTTTGTTAATTACATCCCAATAGGGTCACTTAACACAGTCTTTTGTTTCCTTTATTTCTAGTAAAATGATAGTAACATCTAGTAGCTTGATCAGCTTTAGGTAAGATTTCTGGCAAGAATACCCCAARGGAGGTATAATATATCTCTATCAGGAAGCACATAATGCCTGGCCATTCTTTTTCATGATGTTAAAACTGATAGATGAATTCAGGCATTGTCAGCCTGATTTCACTCACTACAAAGTTCCTTATCAGTTTTTCATCTAGCAGCCATTGATGATCACTCCCTATAACCTTTATGTTATTAGTGGTTATAAAATACTGATATTCTATCATTCTTTCTTCATATATTACTTGGAATATTTCTATAAAGAAAATAACCCAGATGATTCTAATGTGCTTCCAAAGTTAATCAAGGATAAAAGAGTAAATGACTATTATGCTTTGAATATCCCTCTCCAAAACTCATGTTGAAATTGAAATGTGAATGTAACAGTATTAAGAAGTCATGAGAGGACTGGGGACATAGCTCAGTTGGTAGAGTGCCTGCCTTGTGTGCACAAGGCCCTGGGTTCAATCCCCAGCACCACACACAAAAAAAAAAGTCATGAGAGCCTTATCATGCTCTTTATCCATCTCCAGAACCATGTGCCAAAAGAAACCATGGTTTATAGATTTACCCAGTCAGTGATATTAGTGTAACAGAAACAGACTAAGACAATGACATAGGACTGATCCCTGAGAAACTCCAACATTCTACAGTTTGAGCACAAGAGGAAAGCTGGCCAGGATGACTGAGAAGCAAGTCTGTGAGGTAGCATCTGAACAGCAGTGTCCCAGAAGCTGAAGGAGAGTGTGTTAAGAAAATAGAAATGACCAGATGCCCAGAATGCAGCCAACCAAGATGAGATCAGAGAAGTACAACTGGATATGAGAACACAGAAGTCTTTAGCAACCTTGAGCAAAATTTCAGTGGTGAAGTGGGAGTGGGAGCATTACTAGAATGCCAGGAAGTACATGTGACTATATATACTCTTTCAAGTTCTGCTGTGAAAAGAAAGGAATGCAGAAAATGAAGCCAGGTCTGAATTCTTGTAGATTAGGTGGTCAGTTTCTTCACCCTCTGGATAATTTTTTATTGTTGTTGTTTGGTTGGTTTGGTTTTTTTTTTTTTTTAACTGAACTTCAAGATGCCTTCTGCCCTCAGAATGAAGTCCTAAGCTTGGTGATATTACAAGGATTAATATTCTAACTCTAAAGCACATCTCCTGCCTCAGAGTCCTTGMATGTAAACTCCTAACTTCACAAGTTCTTTCAAACTTCCATGTAAGATGCTGGTCAGAAGCCTTCCAACTTCTCCACCTGGTAAACTTAKATTTACATTTCATAACTCAGCTCAAATATCCTCCTTACCAGCATGCTACCAGGCACTTACTTATCATTCACATCAGCACCTCTTCCAGTGTTTATTCTTTCAATCCAGAAACTTGTGAGTTAGTCTTGACTGTTTCCATATCCAGTCCGACCTTTCTCAATCCTCACATCTTCCCCACCATGTCCCAACCACTCCACTTTTTCATCAGGCTCTATCTGTCCTCTCAGTATCCCCACTTTCTTTATCTTGCTTCTTAATTGACCTCCCTATTCCATCTCCCTCCATTCATCATCCACACAGAAGCTAGAATGAAACTTTTTTTTTTTTTTTTTTTTTTAGCAGGGGGGAGGCCAGGGATTGAACTCAGAAGCACTCAACCACTGAGCCACATCCCCAGCCCTTTTTTTGTGTCTTATTTAGAGACAGGGTCTCACTGAGTTGCTTAGGGCCTCACTATTGTTGAGCCTGACTTTGAACTCTCGATCCTCCTGCCTCAGTCTCCCGAGCCGTTGGGATTAGAGGCACGCATCACCATGCCCAGCTATATAAACCTTTCAAAGCATAAGACTGATCATATTCTCTCAAGAATGAAAACTCTTCAATGGCTTCCCACTCCTCTTAAAGACAAAAAAATGATTATTTGGCTAACAAATCCCTATACCTTTGACCCATGCCAGCCTCTCCAGCCTGGTTTCCTGGTTCTCTCCCAGCACTGTGTTCTGACCTTACTGACCTTTCAGTTCCCTAAACTTACTCAGTTCCTGCACCTGTTTCCTGCACCTGCGCCTCCTTCAGCTAGCCCTTCAGACCCAACCTCAAATGTCATTTCCTCAGGAAATAACAATAGAACCTAACCTAGTCTTTGGAAACTCTGTAATTCTTCATAGCACTCAATGCCATTTCCAATCATGGATATATATTAGGGTGGTTATGTCATCAAGGCTCATCGCACATGTTTAACTAATAACTTCCTGATGATGGCACCATCATCATTGGGTCAGCTTTGTGTACCAGTCACACTGAGGACCCAGCACTCAAATATTTATTGAATCATTAACAAATGAAAATCCTCTTAATTTGACCTTCTCTGATCAGAATCTGAGCTCTCCAAATGAAGAGTAAATTTAGCCAGGCTCCTCTTCAAACAATATAACCAATCTAGGTACTTTTCTTTCTACTAACTTCTAACATCATAAAAGAGATTAGTTCCTAGACTGCTTATTTCCTAAATCCATCAGTTATACCTTTACCTTCAATTGCATCAATTGACAGGTTTTCTTTTTATCAAGAGAAAAGCACAAAGAAGTTATTTTGGCTTTGGACAGAAACCAGTTCTTCAGATTTATATTGCTTGGCCTAATACTGAACACCTAGAGTTAAATGTTCTTCCACACAATTAGAAATTTTCCACGAGATGTCAGAAGCAAAGTCTGAGACATTCTGCTTCTTTGTATTCAACTTAAGTTAATCAGGTTAACTCACTAATGGTATAGAAACTGGAAAGTGTTGGGTCTCTAAACATTAGTAACTCCATTTTGGTTCTGGGACTCTACCTTGACCCAAAATTGAAACTGCCAAGAAAAAGAAACTTAAGATACCCTGTTCCCGTAACACCACCCCTGTCAAGGGGTGTCAAGATCCCTAAACACAAAAAACTGTTGTTACCAAACCACCTGCACCCAAGTTCAGTTCTAGCTTGCTCTTGTTCCTTGTTCAAAAGATATTTAAGTTTCCATTCAAGTAATACTGGCTGCTGCGCCATGCAGAAGGGCAGCCTGGCAGATATTTTCTATCAATAAACCTTTGCTTGAACTCAGAACTATGTCTCTCTTAAGTTGAATACTCTACAAAGAAGCAGAATGTCTCAGACCTTGCTTCTGACATCTCATGGATATTTGTGCCAGCTACCCTAACAGAAAGTACTTATTCAACTACAAAAACATCACACAATATTATTACTATTATGATCATTACATTATCTAGTCTTCCACTTCCTAGAGGAATATACATCCATTTTGAATTAAAAGTAAGCTTTCTTTATATAAGAAGATTAAAAAAAAGCGGGCTGTATCAAGAGCTATTTGATAAAAGACTTATCTGAAGTATTGTAAAAGCATACCAGTCAATCCAGGTATCATGGGCTTGCTTTCTCACTTAAGGGACAAAGAAGAGAACACTTGTGCAAGTGGAAATAAACCATGCCAAAAAGAACACATGAACACATCCTCTAAAGATTTAGGAAGCAGCCTGAGAAAATACCTTCTGACCAGCACATCCTTTAAAAAAAAAAAAGTGTAGTCTTATCAACACATAGATCATACTATACCACTTTCTTTACTTCCTTTCCTTTCTTTCTATACTCTTATATTCAAATACACCAGCCAAAAGCCTTAGCATCCACAACTTTCAAGGCAGTTTCTAAATCTATACAAACCAAATTGAGAATCTCCTATCTTATGTTAACATTTGGGGAAATTCAGTGAAGGCTAAACAGGTATTCCTTATACCAGTCTTTTCCAGTTTTCTATAAGTTTGAAATGATAATAAAATGAACATTTAAAGCATTTTTTTTTAATTTTTTAAATTTAATAAAGATTCTCCTAGGGGCTAGAAGTGTGWCTCAGTGGTAGAGCACCCACCTACTAGGCACAAGGCCCTAGGTTTAACCTCCAGCACTGGAAAAAAAAAAAAAAATTCAAGATTCTCCTAATCTTTGAATATTTTAAAATATTAGAGTGACAGCCAGGCATGGCGGTGCACACATGTAATTCCAGCAACTTAGAAGGTTGAGGCAGGAGGATCACAAGTTCAAGGCAAGCCTCAGCAACCTTGTGATACCCTGTCTCAAAATAAAAAATAAAAAGCCCTGAGATGTAGCTTAGTGGTAACGCATCCTTGGATTCAATCCCCAGGACCAAAAAATACACACACACATTGCAGTGACAAAGTTTACACTTTGAGTTTTTAAATCTGAATCTAACAGAGACAAGAACATCATTTCATCCAAAGTTTTGGGCCACAAGGTTTTTTTACCAACTTCTCTTCCTACCTGACATGCTCAATTGCAAGGGCTGTCTGGTCAAATACTCCAGAACCATCAAACACCACCCACAACTCCTGCAGGGGCAACCGACATTCCTTCAGCTCCAGGAGCTCTTTCACACAATCCAAGGTAAAAGTGTTCACTTCAGAGTCACAGACATAGGGTTCAGCAAGCTTCACAACTGCCTTCAAGGCTGCAAAGTCCACATCTGTAACCTAAAATTTAAAATGTCACTTAACACATGTAAATCAAAATTAAGATACACATACAAAACACTACTGATAGCCTAATTTTTTTAAAAGCTTGAAATGGGGAAGGGAAGTCTTCTTTTGTAATATAAAGGGAAAACAAGACAGGTCTGGCTTTTACCTTCATGGTGTTTATATTGTAATAAGGAAGAAAAATAAACAAGATGGTGATAAGTATGTGATAGAGAATAATAAGCAGGTATGATGACCTGGTTTTGCTGGGATGACCAGGCTAAGTCACCTCTAAGCTAAGAATAAAAAGGAAGCAGCAATCTAAGAGCAAGGAAAGTGCAAAAGTCCTGGGGTAGAGACAAGCTTCACATCTGGAGGAGAAGAAAGGCAGTGCTTCTTGCTGGAACCAAAGGGAGTAGACTGGGAGTGAACAGAGGCAGCAAGAGATGAGAAAGGCAAAGTGACCAAGACACAAAGGACATCAGAAGGAACTTGGATTTTACCTGTTCTCCAGCACAGTGAGAAGACATTAAGTAAACACTAAGCCCTTGGTAAGTGCAATGCATTAGGGGTTTTAAATAGAGAAATGGCACACTAGTCTTTTAAGACAATGCCTTTGACTGCTTTTAGAAAATTGATTGGAGGGGAAGAGGAGCATTACCATAACTAAATTAACAGATCTGAACTTCAAGTAAGGATATCAGCATAATCCAAAATTTAAAAATTTGCACAGAACAGCTACAACCCACTGCTTCATACATAATCACAGCAGTATGGCATGTCATTTTCTAAAGGAGCTACAGCCATACTGAATTCATACTCCCTGGTTTAACATTTTGGTTTAACAGGGCTTTTTGTGGTCCAGTTAACAAACACTGAGAAAAACTCACAGCTAATATTAGAATGCAAGTTTAATGTGAAGGGCCCAGTCAGTTGAAAAATAAGATTGTTTTATTTTCTGCAGTGGGACACACTAGCAAGAGATTAACCATTAACCACATTCCTACAAATTTGTTAGACAAAAAAAAAAAAAATGGATGAGTTTTAAAATGCCTGTTTGGTTTAAGCTACTTAATGGGCTAAACTAAGAAGGTAAAAAAAAATAATTAAAACTCTGTTGACTTCATAATTAGGCCTCCTTATTTTTAAAATGATCTCAAATACCTCCTCCACTTCCTAGGTTTATAATCCATTTCCCCTTGTCAAAGGACACTGAAATTTAAACCACCTTAATTTCCTGGTAGCTCCTCCTCAGTAGCTTTTAAAATTTGCGGAACACTTCATACACTGGAACGCTTAGAACACCGTGGCAATTAGATGAGAAAAACATGCTATTTTCAATCAGCTCATAAACTTTAATTAAAAATAAGCACTTTGGCTATAACAGTCTGAAGTAAGTGCTTATAGCTAAAGACAAATATCTTAACAACAGAATTAAATTTACCTCAACCAGCACCTCAAACACATTAGTGTGCCAGACTGCCCGCCATCCAGATGGTTCAAGGACCTTCTCCAAGAACTCAGCTGTGAATTCCCTTACTTCAGAGGCCTTGCAGTCAGCTACAAACAAATTAAACACAGTAAGAACTGAGTATGCATAAAGCAGAGAGAAGTTAATAGATTCATTTACATCTACTTTCTCAAAACAAACAATTGGCAATCTCAGAAATTGAGACAGACATTCTACTTGTTACTAAAAAGATAAAAGAAGAAAAAAGAAACCTACTCACCTAAAATGTAATCTTGATAGGCTCTGAATCGTTCATAGAACAAAAGTTGACTTGTTTGGAAAATTTCTGGGAAAAGAGTTTTTCCTTCTGGCACAAAACCTTGTAAACTAGTGACTGGCTTATCGTGGTAGCTACAATCACTGCATGACTCTTCATCTTGGAACAAACCTAAAGGAACAACAAAAACAAGTAAGCTCAACTATCCCAGGTACTTCTGTACTTACAGAGTGCTTCTATTTTCACATCCTCAATTTCCAAACAAAATACACAAAAAGATTTGAGTATGAATGTTCTACTCACTTCTACCACTGTCAGAAGAAACTAGCTTATAAAACAAAAGTATCTCAAAATCTAAATTCTACTTCAAAACAATAAAAAGCTTAAGATTTTTCAAAGGTTAGGATTTTGTTGTTCTGTGAGGTTTGGGGGGAAAACAAAGGAAGACTGTTTTCTGATTCAGTGGAAATCATCCAAGTTCTCCTTTAAAGGACACAAGTGGATTTTTATTTTTACTGCTATAATTAGCAAGTTATAATAAATATCTTACAGTTGTTTTTTTCCCCAAAAAATAATTCCATTAAGCTACATTAAAAGAGGGAGCTGATAGTCCCTCTCAAATGAGTTGAAGCCTCCCTTATTTTCCACAGTGAGGTCTGTCAATGGCCCCTCAATAAAGATGGATGAAAGAGTCTTAATAAAGCATAAGATTTACTTCACTAAGGCTACTAGGTTCCTCCTCACCAATTTCAATGACTGTCTAAGAGCAGAAAATGCAAATCACCTTAGGTTTGGCCTGTATATAATCATGTTTCACAAGGTGTGATGTAGCCAGTGGCATATCTAATTATGTGTAGAAAGATGTTTTTAATAGACAAAACTGTTGCTAAATAAAAAATGCCGAGGTGGCATTTAGACTGGCAGAGTAGTTTCCAGAGGCAGTTTTAGGAAGTTAAGTCTGTCATGAGCAGCAGTCTATTTTTCCACACCTTCCTTCATTTTCAGCTTCCTTTTCTCCTTCCTTACATTTATTTTTTGCCCCTGTTCAGGCTACCAGAATTACTCAACCCCACAGATGACCAAAGTGTATTCAAAGTTCTGCTGCTTACAAACACTGATGCACATAAGCCAGAGAGGGCTTACTATCTGGGCAACAATTTCTCTATTCCTCAATTTCCTTGCCTATAAAGGGAAGGTAAAAATAGTATGCCCACTTCAATTAGGAGTAAAAAAAATCATTTCTTCATCTTTTACAACAATGCCCAGTACACATGCATGTTTTTTTGTTTATAAACAACACCATTTTTGATCTGTTTTTCTACCTTTACAGAAGTAGAAAAGACAAATAAAAATTGTATATATTTAAAGTGTACATTGTGATGTTTTGATAAGTATATATTATGAATTACCACAATAAAGCTAACATTTCCATCACCTCAGTTTCCTTTCCTTCCTTCGTTTCTCCCCTGCCCCTTTGGATTTGTTGTTGTTGTTGTTGTTTTGTAAGAACACTTATGATTTACTCTTATTAAATTTCAAATATACAGGGGCTGGGGCTCAGTGGTAGAGCACTCGCCTAGCATGCATGAGACACTGGGTTTGATCCTCAGCACCATATAAAAATAAAAAATAAAGATACGTGTCCACCTAAAACTAAAAAATAAATATAAAAAAAATTTTTCAAATATACAATATTATTAAATATAGTCATCATTAGTTCATTAAGTTTCCAGAACTTATTCATCTTGTAAATACAACTCTCTGTCCTTTGACAGCTCTTTATTTTCCCCACCTGCTGGTAACCACCATCTATGCTGTTTCTGAAAGTTCAGCTTTTTTAAGATTCCACGTGATGTCATGTAGCATATGTCTTTCTTTACAACCACTTCAAAAACATGACTCTTTACACATTATCTTACTTCATCTTTACTGTCGACAGAACTTTTGGCTCTATTTTCCAAGGGGGGGAAAAAAAGCTAATCAACTTTTGCCAGTTCAAAAGATACATTAATAATTAAGTCACACCTATGTTTTCTCACTTGACCAGAATTCTTTCCATTTCATAACACAATTCAAAGTATTAAATAATTTAATTCAAAGTATTAAAGAATATAAACCGACTTAAAATGTCAGGGAAAAAAAAAACAAAAAAAAAGTAAATGGGGGTCTGGGGATGTGGCTCAGTGGAAGAATGCTTGCAAGACCCTTGGTTCAATTCCCAGCACTTCTCCCGGCAACTGCCCCCCATTAATGGAATCTCCAAGAAGAGATAGAATTAGGGGACGCGCATTCTATTTCTGAATTCTGTCCCAAATTGGCTTCCCTACCTTTAGACAGGTCATCGCCTTCAGTGTTCAGAAAAGGTATCTAGGCCAAGTATTCAAGGTTATCTTTTTCAAAAAGGGGAAGTGTGATTTTGACCTCCTTTGAGATGCAGATGAAAAAAAAAAAAAAATCTTTGCTCAACTGATAAGCTCAAAGCTTCCGGTAACCCTTCCAGGCTGAGAATCCCTGGCCTAAGTCCAACTTCCTCCAGTCTCAGGAAAGCTGAGACCAAAGAGGGTGGAGTGGGGTAACTGTCCCCGTGTACCTCACGACTTTGACATCCTGAGAGTGGGTCCAGGCCTGGCACAGCCTTCGCCGCCACGGTGGCCAGCAGAGTCCGACAGGTCTGCGACCCAGGCGCCTGCCAGTGTCCCGACGCCCCAGGCCGCCACGGAGACTGTCCGCCCGGATTGGGGGTGCTCACCTTTCTCCAGGGGCTCCGGCTCCTCCTCGGCTGCCCAGTTAGTGCGCTCTGGTGCCATCGCCCCAAGCCCCAGACCTCCACCCGACGGCAACCCGTCAGCCATTTCAAATTTCCGCGGGCGACCGCCCAGACTGGAACGCGATGACAAAGACGCTTCTGATTGGATAAATCGGCCGAGGCTTTTCCCCGGGAGCCCCGCCCCCTGCGGCCTCCGACAACCCCGCTGCAAAGCCTAGGCGCCCTCTACCGGCCAGGGGGACCGCTGTTCTCTTCCAAATTCCGTCTTTGGCTTACTGGGACATACTTGGACATAGTTTGGCATGATTTCTGAAAAACTATCAAGGCATACCCGGAAATGGGTAGGATCCAGAGGAAAATAGTATATATCTAGAATCAAAAACATAATATTTAGACTTGTTTGACTCATTACTAGTGGTATTACCTTGGTCAAATCACTTCACCTCTCAGAAAATGATTGTAGGATGAACTGTTAATAGGATGTTGACCTAGGTGGCCCCAAAATTTTCACTACCAAAAATCAGCAAAACACACACACACACACACACACACACACACACACACACAGGGTATTTTCAAAGAATATTAAATCACATTTAGTAAGTAAATTTAACTTTTACTAATTAAGGGAAACTGTAACTTCCAATAATAATAACTAACATTTCCTGAGGACTGTATGCAAGACACACTGCTCCATGCTTTATGGGCATTTTTATTTAATCTTCAAAAACCATCCTATGAGACAGGAAATATTATTATACCCATCTTACAAATAAGGAAATGGATTCGCCAAAAGTTAAGTAACTTCTCCGATCTAACTCAGCAGAACCAAAATTTGAAAACAGCCAGACTGCAGAAACCACCCCTTAAGGCGTCTGCCAGGCCATCATTGCTCAGGTCAGCCTGAGACAGCACAGATTCCCAGACACCGGGTAGAATGAATCCACAAAGAGCAAGAACCTGGTCAGGATGGTTAGCCTAGCAACCTTGTCACAGGGAAACATTTCTACTTACTCCTTTGAAGGAAACCCTTACAGCTGAAACAAAACAGAACCAGGGGAGGCAACCATGGAAACCTGCACTTAATTTCAACTAGCTGTTCCAAATAAACAAGATTTCTTTGACTCCTCTGTGTGCAGTCTAACCTTATGTTTATTCATTCACTGAAAAAAAAAATATTTACTGAGCACCACAAGGTAAAAACACAGAAAATAATAAAGTCAAGACTAGCAACAGGACTTGAATACTAAGCCAGCTTTCTCATAATTCTCCTCTTTAGTAACAGCATTTCTCCTCACCCACTTCTATCAGCACTGGAGACAAAATAGTTCTTATCATTTAATTACAAATATTTCATCAACCATGAAGTCAGCACCCAAAATATGCTTCTGAAAAACTCTTGGAAGAAACAAGAAGCCACAGGATTGGAGGCAAATACCTAAAGCTGTTGCAAACTCAATAGCAACAGCATTAGGTCTTCATTATTTATTAAGTTAGATACATTTGCTATACATAGCCTTTCTCATTTCCAAGCTTCTGTCAATATTTATTCATTACTTGCTCAGATTGTATCAAAGGTTTCTAGAGTATTCCCCTCATTTGAGACCTTCTAGGAGGAAATTTTTTTTTTTTTTTTTTTGTACAGAGGATTGAATCTAGGGGCTCTTAACCACTGAGCCATATCCCCATCCTTTTTTTATTATTTTGTGTATAGACAAGTTCTCACTGAGTTGCTCAATATCTTGCTAAGTTGCTGGAGTTGGCTTTGAATTCGCCATCCTCCTGCCTCAGCCTCCACTGGGACAGCAGGAGTATACATTTCTTGAGAGTTTGGGATCCTTGTTCTTCCCTTATCCTAAGAAATGGGTTTTCTCCTTTCACATTCCCAACCCCTCTACATCTTCTACCTGCTCTAAGGTGGGGCATCACCCTCTACCCCATGTCTTTTGCATGTCTTCACTCTTTCTCACCACTGGATCCTTAGCCTATATCCACACGCTGTGCACAAAAAAAAAAAAAAAAAAAAAAAAGACAGACTTCCAAAAGCCAAACTGCAACTTTCATTCATTCTTTCTCTGTAGCCCCAAATGGCTCAGTAGTGCACTCCACTGCTTTCTAGAAAGCCAGTGGTTCCCTCTGAGGACTCCCCTCCCCACTCCACATCACTCTCCCCTCACCCCCACAGCAGCGTGGACTACACTGATGATCACCCACCACTGGATTCTGTTCTCCCTTGGCCTCTGGGCCCTCACTCTCCAGGTCTTCTTCTTGTTCTCTGACTATTCCTTCCTCCCCTCAGATGCCCTAAGCCTGGGCAATTCCCAAGGGCATATATTGAAGATAGATACAGGCTGGGTAAATGWCTGTGACCATGCAGGAAAGCAAATTTGATTATTCATTGGACAAATAATAAATATGTGCTGAATAATCTATGAGCCTGACATTACTTTAGATTCAAGTAAGACAGATGAGGTCTTTGCCTTGTGGAGATACACAATAAAGAAAAAAAAATCAACTAACAAGCAAATTTCAATTATGAAAAATACTAAAAATTTTATAAAATTCAGCAATATTATGGAGAATGATGAATGCAGACAGATTCAGATTTTAATGTAAAAACACTGGATATTAAACTTAGCAACTAATTTTTTTTAATTTAAATATGTGAAGTCAGGAGGCCAGAAAAACCTTATTTCCCAGATCTCATTGGCAAAATAGCCCACCAGATTGCAAGTATGTTATGAGCCCTCACTACTCATATTCCAGGGGCCAGAATTGTGTTAGAAATGTGACATGCCTCCCTCTGTCCCTAACCCCAGACCTACTGGATGAGAATCTGTGTTATGGCAAGATCCCCCCAAGTAATTTCATTCATATTTGACACAGAGGCCTTCAGAGCTGACTTGTCTCCTGATTCTGTTTCAGTTTGTACATTTCTGCTGAAAATCTGACCTGGGATTCTTGCCTGGGATTCCCATTCACTAGGGTGAAAAGCCAAACTTAAGTGCCGTGCATCCCCCAGCCCACAGGCCTCTCATTCCATCTCACCCTCCCTGCCACAGCATGTATGGGCCACCACTACCTTCCACTCTGCTACTGAGAAAACATTTGGGCCTCAGCCCTTCTGAGAAGGCTGCACAACCCTACCCCTATAGACAGAATTATTTGTTCCCCTCTTGCTGCTCCTAGAACAGAGGTCTGAAATTTTCATGCCCAGAGAAACCAGGCAGGCCACAGACAGGAGCAGGGCTGGAGACACTGGTGTTAGTTCATCAAGAAGTGGAAGGTGGACCCAATGTTGCCACACTGGCCTTTCAAGAGAGGCCAGGAATACCAATTTTTATGAGAAATCCCCCATATTAAAACGTTGATAACTAGATTTTAAAGAGGTAAATATCATGCCAGCCTAATAAAACCAATGATGGTAGATCACCAGTTTACATCTTCTGAGACCTAGTCTGCTTCTTACATTGTATCAGAGACTATGAGTTCTTTAAAGGCAAGGACCATGTCATGTTCCTCTTGGTATTGCTAGCACCACTACTGAGATCAACTTACTAAAGGGCCAAACTAAATCAATACTGTTTCTTTTATATACAATGTAATATTATAATGTCATTAGCCAAATGGCTCCAGGTGCCATTCAAGCATCTAGAGCCCTGGACCATGTCAGCTGCTGCTGCCCAATGGCCCCCCACAATCACRGATTAATCCTTGGCATCATTACCTAAATCAAAGCTAGTAAAAGTTGCCTGTGTTTGAGGCTCTCTGTTCCCAAACCARCCCACCAGCTTCCCCCCAAAATAGAATACCCTATAGGATAGTGAAGGAGTCCCACTAGCAGATGTCACTGAATGTCCATGTGAATGAGTATCTGAGAACAGGTGGACCAGGACAGTGCCTATTCTAGACAGCAGAGAAGGGGAGGAAGCACCCCACACACACTACCCTAGGAGGAGCCAACCTGGGGAATCTTGTCTCTCTATCTACAGTTGTGCAGAGTTCCACATAAGGCCAGGATGGGCCCAAGCATCTTGCATAGAAAAGGAAGGTAGCCCACAAGCGTCCACGGGCTTCAAGGAGAAAAGGGAGAGAGACCTCTGTCACTCTGATCTGAGAGTCTGGGACTTGCTTTGACAAAAACAGAAACAAAGAATGAGAGCCAGGCCTGAATGCTGGCTTGTACCCTCCACTAGAGGGCAGTTTMAACTTGCAAAAGGAAATAAATCTTTAGCACTTTACCAAGTACTGAAGAGATCTTGCAGCCAGTTTCCTCTTGAGCCTCTAGGTCCTTTGTGAGGCCCTGGGATGAGAAGGGGACAAATTTAGCCCTTGCTTCTTGGAGCTCACACTCCCCAACAATGCAAAGGAAAATGGTTAATTAATTAAAATAAAAAGAAACAACAGCTCAGAGTCTACCAGACCTATAAATATTAAAGTTCAGGGATTTTAGCTGGGCCCATTCCTCCTCTGTTTCTGTTCTTTCACTGGGCGAATTTATCCAATCTTGTTACGACTCCACAAGGTATGGACTCCTTTAATTTCCAGCAGTAGCCTTACATATTCAATTGCCTACTACCTTTTTCAAGTTCAGAGGATCTAAATCCAAACATTTTATCAGTCACCCCCATACTTAACCCTTATCCACTTGTTTAAGGATTCAATCCTCAGCACCACATAAAAATAAAGATGTTGTGTCCACCAAAAAAACCTGAAAAATCGATATTTTAAAAATTCTCTCTCTCTTTAAAAAAAATGCAATCTTACAAACCATCGTTAGGCCCCAGCTGACTTCCATCATCCCAGATCCCTCCTTTTCTCCTGATTACTTCATTCAAGCCACACCAGCTTTTCTCTGTTCCTCTCAGTGCTAAACTCTCATCCCTCAGGATCTTTGCACCCAGGCTGTTCCCCCTGCTTGGCATGCCCTTTCCATCAAATCTTCTTGAGCAGTCTTTATCTCTTCAGAACAGATAGCCATAGCCATCTCTGCCTCCCCAGCCTGAAACAGGGAGTTGCTATTCTTACTCCATAACCTCATGTATTTTTCCTTTGTAGCACTTAGCACCATTCAGACTTCTCCGGTATT